ACGGCAGATTTTTGAGAGCACCGTATTTTCCGGGCTATTAGGCGCTCTGGATTATAAAACGCACTGTCATTAAATGGTCTATTTTCGAACTTTTTTCACAAATAAACCGCACTGGACTTTAAACGAAACACAACAGTTGGATGGGTGAGTGGTTTTGTTTGTTTGTGGCGTTCACGGTGACTCTGGGCTTTGTTCAGTTGTGGCGTGTAGGGAGGGTGCTGTCTGGGACCGCTGGATTGTCGGCGTGTTCGCAGTGACTCAGTTGTTCAGTCGTGTCTAGAAGTGGCACATTGCACTCGCTTTTTCGGTTCGTTCCTCCGTTCCGTTCCTCGTCGGCGTGGAGTGATGAGTGTGTCTGTGGGTGTTTTTCGCTGTGCGGTCGCTGTCTGCTCCGTGTGTGTTTGCGTGCGCTGCGGGTGGTGCGGCTTTGTAGTTTACTGAAGTCGTGCTGGGACACCCGAGTGGATTCGTGTATAGGGCGCTCTGGATTGTGGGGCGCACAGTTGTTTTTTGATGGGGTTAGAGGCTTAAGAGCGCGTCTAATAGCCCGGAAAATACAGTACTTGGCAATTAACAATTCAAAACTGAATATCATATAATTATGTATGGTAAAAAGTACTCAAACTGCACCCTGAAACCATTAGGGATGTTACAATAATTAAAATATCATGATATCAAATTTAAAAAATCTAAAGTCTCACCATAACATCGTGGACCATCACAATTAGAGCATGGAAACCTGAGTGAAGTCCGACGGGTTTGGACGGGTTCGGCACGTTTGGCATCGGCACGAGACTCTCAAGTGTTCAAAAGATCAGAGCACTGCACTTCTAGTTTAGATACAAGTCAAAACTGTGTTGTTATTATTTGTGAAATGTGGTGCAATACTTCAGATATGTGATTTTTAAAGCATAAAAAATGGTGATAAAGTCCACAGGAAGTAGAGTCACTATCACAAATCTGCAGCGTCACCTCGATCCGTGCGCTGTGTGGATGTAAACAAACACACGTGAGGAACTACTCCCACCTTTTTACTTTTAACGCTTCAAACTGGATGAATAGCGCTGTTTTGTGGAAAGGATGTCATTATTTACGGAGGACAATTTCTATAGATAATGTGGATGAGATGCTACGTTTTATCCTGAGTTTGTATTTTGCGTCTGTGTGTCCGTTAGAGGCCACAGAAAACAATATCCTACGTGTGTCATTAGGCCTAAGAAAATAGTGTGATTTTAATTGTGTCGGTTCGGTTGAATCACGAGTTTCTTATAGTTTGTATTATATTTTGTCCTGTTACTTTTCTCGTGTAGATACAAGTTTGGCGGACATGGGCGAGTTGAGGTTGACTTTGATGTAATGATTCTGATAAATAAAAACATGCACTTTAAAGGGGAATTCTTCATAAAATATCAGGGACACACATGGCTTGTACAGAAAAAAGTAAAGGAGGCTTGGGGCTGGAAAAACATGGCAGATTTTTGAAGCACTAAACTAAATTATGGTGACCAGTGAGCGTTTTCGTTTCATATGCATCACTGAAAAAAAAACCCTAATCTGATTGGAGGGTCACATTTGGAGAGACTTGAGATGCAATGAAGGGCATGGGGTTCATACTGACACAAATCACACAGAGATATCATTCTGGATTTGCCAGGCAAGCACTTCTGTAGAAGATGACCTGAATTAAAATCCTAAAAGCATTTGGAGTGCTCCCCAAGGCCCCGGTCTTGTCTACAGTAGTTAAAATAGAAAATGGACTATAACCACAAATGTGTAAACCAGTAAATCAATGTTTTATTCATCATCTATTTTCCTTTTCTACCCTTGTACCCCTTTGTGAATGGACACATGTGGAAAGCAGCAAGCAAAAGATAAACTCAAAATAACCCAGAAGCTCTTTTAGATTAAAAATATTTAAACTTCAAGCCCCGGTTTGCACTTTTGTCATCCCTTCACCCTGACAAGGCACTGTTGTGAAGTGGAAAACATTTCAAGAAGCTCATTGAGAGAAGGCCAAGGGTTTACAGCTCTGTCAACAAAGCAAAGGGTGGATACTTTGAGGATTTATTTCACTTTTTTTCCATGCAACATAATTCCATTTATCTTGCTTCATGTATTTCATATAAGGAGTCCAAATGAGTCATCTCACCTGGTCAAACAACACTAGTTGCGTAGTAAAGAAAGTACATCAACACCTCTACTTTCTTTGACGCCTTAAAAAAGCAGGTTTGGGCCGCTCTGTCCTGACAACCTTTTACAAGTGTGCAGTGGAGAGCATCCTCACCTCCAACGTGTCTGTGTGGTTCAGCAGCCGCACCGTGACAGAGAGAAAAGCTCTGCAGAGGGTAGTAAGAGCTGCTCAGCACATCTGCAGCTGTAGCCTGGCCTGCGTTGAAGACATTTACATCAACAGGTGCAGGGCAAAAGCCTACAGCATCATGGAGGACTCCACCCATCCAGCATGTGGACTTTTTACAGCTCTCCCATCAGACAGAGGACTGCGCCACCTACAGGCCAGGACCACCAGACTCCAGAACAGTTTTTACCCTGATGCTGTTAGGCAGTAGGGCCCGGTCAAGCAGAAGTAAACATCAAGGCCAAAAATTCAAGTTAGTGCATCTGATATAAAAATGTATTGAACAGATACATATGTACTCTAGTTTATGAAACTGTTGACCTTTTTTCTGTACCATTTTTGGTTCTAAAGTTACATACGTTTTAAACAGACCATGTATGAAACATGGAACAAAAATTATTTGCCAAATTTCAAAGACCTGCAAATCATGTAAATAAATGGATGTATTTCATCATATCTTGTGTTATTCCATCTTTGAACTGTTGATGAAGGTACATGATGTTTCAAAAAAAATTTATTTAAAATGATAAAAATTAGCTTGGAAGGACTGACATATTTGTTAGAAATAGTTTCCTTTCATTTTGAAGAAATATTAAAGTATTCAGAAGAAAAAAGATGACAAATTATGTAAAATCCTGCACCTTCTACTTGTTTGCACAATTTTCCCTCTGTTACTTTTCCCTCCGTTACCATGACCTTTCTTAATAAAAAATCTCATGACTCAAAAAGTAAGAGGTTTTTCAACCTAATCTTGTACCATATGGTAGAAAACTATATGAAGCAAATATTCAAACCAGTTTGTTAAGGATATGTAAGTGAGAACCAAGAGTTATCACTGTTTGTATTTATTGCCCAAAAAGTGCTGCATATTTCATTCCCTCCGTTACTGACATGAGTTTTAAAAAAAATTTTTGTCAACAACTTGAAAGAATATCACAGGTTTAACTTGACCCTGTTGGAGTGTAACTCTTTCCTACATTCTGATACTTTACTTATTTCAATAGTCCCTCTAGTTTCTGAATAAGAGACATTTGAATGTAAAAAATCTGCCCCTGTTTCCCTCTGTTACCGCTTGACCGGACCCAGTACCCTGATTTTACTTTGTAGAAACCGTCTGACCTGTGTACAGTGTTAGAATTTGTTCGCTCGACGGTAGACGGGTACTTTTTTTATTTAACCAGTTGCTGCTATTTGGTCGTGACGTATGTAATGCGCCGCTAACAGGGCTAACTGGTATATTAAACTTTTCCCAAATCCCATAGGAAGAAGTGCAATAACGTCTTTCCCCTTGATAAAATTCACCAAATATTATTTTTGTTCCCGTTTTAAATCCTCGATCTCGGGAACCGTTACCAACACAGAATGTATTGCTCTTGATTGATTGGCTGGTGTCCGAACTCACACTTCTGGGGTTTTTGCGAACCATCTAGTGTATTCGATTCCTGACCTAGTCGCTGGAGAGAAATTGAGCGGAGGCACTAGGTGGCGCCAGCCTGGCTAGTTAGGCAGATCAATTCTGTCAAAAAGCCCGGACACTAATGCACGTTACAGATCACTGATTTGGAAAGCACTTTTAAAACAGCCCCTACCTGTCCCCATTTTCTAAAGACTGTATTTGACAATATTCTAAACTATTATTTATTTATACTGTTATTTATGCTCCTGTTGACCTGGGCCTGAGTGCAATGTTTCGTTTCTGTGTATTTTTTATACTGAAATGACAAATAAATTCTGGTTCTGATTCCACATGTATAGTATAAAATGTGGAAAAACTCACAATTTCGACTGTAATTTTAAAGCCAGGCGATAATGCTGTAACCTCATTAAAAACAGACCCAGAGTTTTGTTTCATTCAGAGATGTTTGCGTAATCCTTTATTATTAGTCTGTCTGCACCTCCAAAGCTCAAAATGCTGTTTCACCTTGTGATAGACAGACAGATAATGCTTTATTATCTTGAAGGAAATCCATTTTTCATTCAGCAACGACACATAATAATAATAATAACACTGGTAATTTAATTTATTGTAAAGCACTGTAAAGCTTTGTGGGGTGTGGAACAAACGACTTCCAGAGTTTGTGATTTCATGTAGCGGTAGTTTTCAAAGTAGCAGCTCCTTTTTCCTTTCGTTCAGATCGACAATTCCAGGTCTAAAATCGTTCAAATGATTCTCGTGAAGGTGTAGGGAGTTTAAAAACACAGTGGAGCCCCTCCTGTATCACCTCATAATGATGTTTTCTGTTTGAGAGAAGAATTCAGCCTAAAAACACAACTCCAGGTCTGTTTATGATGAGGAAAAAAACATTATAACATAGATCAGAAAATAGAGTAATATGGGCCCTTTAACAAATCTGTGTTGACGAAGGCAAAAGATTTAGAAGTAAAACGAGAAAACTCACTTTTCCATAAGCAAAAGGCGGAAAAAGCCTCAGAGGAACGCCTTATCTATGGCAGACACAGCTATTGATTATAGAATTTCATTTGTGCTTCATATTTCACGGGACTCTGCTAAACGGTTTGGGTCTGACGTGTCCTTGAGGTGGCCGCTTCATTCTGATCTGCAGCTCTATTTGAAAGCGACAAAATATTTCCTCAGTGCGTTCAATACATCTCTTCTTTTTCTTTTTTGTCTTTCTCTTTTTAGTGTTCAAGAACCCGGTGTGTAAGGTGTACAGATTCCAGACCACGGACAGTAAGTGGATGCTGGTTCGAGAGCAGATGGAGGAGTGCACGTTGTCTCTGAGCGTCCCCAAACAGCTCATCAGCCTCTACATTCAGGAAGACATGGCCCGGTGAGTCACAAATACTCGTATACACTCTAAAAGAAGTTCATTTAAAGAGGTCATAGTTCGCTTTTTTTCTAATCTGTTGTGTAATGTTGTTTCCTCATCACGACTAAACCCGGAGTTGTGTTTTGTTTCATTTCATTTACACATGTTCAACACGCAAACGCTGCATGTTTAGGCAAGAAAACACTGCGCTCCACCTTGTGCTCCACTTTGATTTTAAACTCCACACACCTTCACTTCAATAATTTGGATAATTTCACACCAGGAAGTGCCGGTCTCTACTGAACTAAAGCAAAAGGAGCTGTTAAAAGTATCGCTTCATGACATCACAAGGTGGAACAGAGCATTTTGAGCTTTTGGAGATGTAGACAGACTAATAATAAAGTGTTACTCAAACATGTGAATGAAAATGTATTTATTTTATTATTATTTTTTGTATCATTTTTAGCTTTATGCATTTTAACAGTTTTAATTAATTGTTTTTATTTATGAGTTACTGTCTTTTATTGTATTAATTTGTCTGTGCAGCACTTTGGAAACAGTCATGTTTATAAAATGTTCTATATAAATAAGATGGATTGGATTGGACTGAAACAAAACACAACTCCAGGTATGTTTTTGATGAGGAAACCTATTGTTTGTTTGTTTTTTTACCTTCACCTTTTGTTCAGTAGAGATGAGCAATTCCATGTTTGAAATCATCCAGTGGAGCACTTCCTGTATTATGACATGATATCACAAGGTGGAACACAGTGTTTTCATTTTGAGAGAAAAACTCAGTCTAATGCCCCGTCCACACTAGTACGTATTCAAGTCGTTTTCATTGCAAATCAGTGTTTGTCCACACTGATCTGAAGGAAAACGGCTCTAGAGACAGAACGATCTGGTGCCACTAGCTCCCACGAATTCATCTGAATACTGATCTGATCTGTCCCACTGTGTGGACGCCTGAAAATGCTGAGACGCTGATGTAGGTCTATGCACCGCGAAGTAATTCACCGCCAAAACACTAAGAGGCTAGAATATATGTCCATTCATATATACGGTCTGTGTGTACGACCTGCAGACAAATAATCTCTGAAAAGTTTCACATGAACCATCTCCAATGTGATAGAAGCACAGAACAGACTCACCATCAGCAGAACACCCCTCTGTCACAGAAAGAACACTCATATTCCACTGAGTCGTGTCCTTTAGTCCGACTGAAGTTGAACCGCATCAGCGCACAATAGCGAGCTGTTTTTTGAGCGCTAGTTTATGCAAATTAGCCATGAGGTTTTAAGTTTAGTTTAAATTTGACCATATCACCCCCATCCTGAAATCCCTTCACTGGCTCCCTGTCACACTCAGGATTGAGTATAAGGTCTCCCTCCTCACTCACCAGTGCATCCACGGTCACTCCCCCCAGTACCTTAAGGAACTCCTCACTCCCCAGACCCCCTCACGCACCCTCCGCTCTGCAGCCACTAAGGCTGCGTTCAGACTGCAGCCCGAAGTGACCCAAATCCGATTTTTTGGCTTCTATGTGACCTGTATCCGATTTTTTAATGACAGTCTGAACGGCACAGATCAGATTTTTTCAAATGCGACCCAGGCCACTTGGATATGTGCTCCTGATACCGATACATATCTGATCTTTTGACATGCGACTTCAGTATGAACGGCCAAAGTGCATTCATCCACCTACACGTCATCAACAAGCGACAAACGTCACTATTCTGCGCTGAAGCAGGCGGAAACCGGAACTGTAAAATCTCCAGGTGCTCAATGCTCGTCCATGTTTGGACAACTTCCGTAAACACAGAGACGCTCGCTGCGGTTGACGCATGGGGTTGACGTTATCATGTCTCCAGTGAGCATGCGGGACACTTTCGGGCCGTTTACCGTTCACACTGGAGTCTCAGACAAGTCGCATTTAATTGGAAATGTGAACGACCTCGCAAAAACATCGGATTTCACAAAAAAATCGGAATTGAGCATTAAGCCCTGCAGTCTGAACGTAGCCTAACACTCTCCAACCCCCAGAACCAAACTTTACACCATAGGTGATCGGGCCTTTTCCTCTGCAGCTCCAAGGCTTTGGAACGCTCTCCCCGACCACTTGAGAGCCCCACAGTCTGTTTCTGTTTTTAAACAAAATCTTAAAACGTATCTTTTTACTAAAGCCTTTTGTTAATTGTATTTTATTTTTGTTTTATCTTATTAATTCCTGCAATAGTTTTAGCTTGATCCACTGTTTGCTGATGCACTTTTTACTCATTGTTTTTACCTGTAGCACTTTGAGATTATTTTATGTAAAGTGCAATATAAATAAAATGTATTATTATTAATTTATTATTAGTTTCTGTAAATCGTAAACAAATGTGCTCAAAACTGTGTGGATAGGGAAGGATTACGGACACAGAAACGACGTGTCTGGACGCAAATCGTTTCCGATATGGTGATACAGTGATTTGTTTCAGTGTAAACATAGCCTAAATGTGCAGGGTTTTTGTTATTATTATTCCACATTAAACTTTTCTACATCCATGGAAACTCATTCACAATAACAAAGTTTTAAATGTACGGATAATTACTTATGTTACGTTCGCTGCTAAAGATTCCCGGCAAAGCTGATGGCAAACCCCGACAGCTGAAAAGTTACACAGTGCAGATTTAAGTTATTGTAGACACTTTTTTGCGCTTCTTGACTTGGCCCAATTAAACCTGTGCCTTCAGACAATTGTTTGCATAATCAATGAGAGTCGATCTTCACCCCAGTTCCCCTTTTTTTTTTTTACCTATAACCAGAACTTGTAAAGAAGCAGAGCGTGCATTTTTGTGTTTATACTAGGAACACACTTAATTAATACTTCTTGTTGTGGTCATGTATTGATGAGACTAAAAGATAAGGACTCTTCAGAAGAAAGTTGAACTACTTGTACTGCATTAGTAATGTATGTTAGCAAAGATGAGTTATGTTTACAAAGTACTTGAACTCTTTTCTCAGGACAGTGTGGGAGAAGTAGGGCATGTTGTTCATTTTTACTTTTAAAGGTTCTATATTACACAACATGGATTTTTCTGATCTTTAAGTCGTGTTATAATGCCGTTTTCTAATCAAAAACAGACCTGGAGTTGTGTTTTGTTTCATTCACACACATGTTTGAGTAACACTTTATTATTAGTCTGTCTGCATCTCCAAAGCTCAAAATGCTTTCTTCCACCTTGTGATGTCATGTAGCAATAGTTTTAACCGTTAACAGCTCCTTTTATGTTAGTTCAGTAGAGATTCCTGGTGTGAAATTATCCAAATGATTCTAGTGAAGGTGTTTTGGAGTTTAAGGAGTTTAAGGGTAGCCTCATTCAGACGGTTTCCACGAAGTGAAATTAGGATTTAGGATTAGTTCGCTCGACCGTAGGTGGCTACTTTTTTTATTTTAACCAATCGCTGCTATTTGGTCGTGACATGTAATGCGCCAAATCCCGTAGGAAGAAGGGCAATAACGTCTTTCCTCTTGATAAAATTCACCAAACATTCTCTTTGTTATGGCTTTAAATCCTCGATCTTGGATATTGTTGTACATCAGGCATGTCCAAACTATGGCCCATGGTGAAAATGCGGTCCTCAGACAATTTTTTCTTGGCCCTCAGACTTCCAGGTGAAATGGCGCAAATTACCTGCATCAATTAAAAATTAACTTCTTACTGCAAGTTTGTTTTTTGTTTTTTTATCTAACTTGATAAAGTTAATATTTCATATTTAGTGTGTAGTTTTAAGGATCTTAGCATGAATAAAGACTGATGGCTCATTCTAACGTGTTAAACATGCACAAATTTCAATAATTCACTGTACTGAGCACCAGTCTACGGCCCTCTGCTTCGTCTGTGTTTATGTAACCCTTGATGAAAAAAGTTTGGACATCCAGGGTCTACATCCATCTCGACCGCTTTCTTTACTGTTTACTGACCCAGACAGATGCTTGAGTTTGACCTCATGGCTTCACAGCTCTTTGCTGATTGGCCGGTGTGCGGTCTACAACTTCTGGGGTTCTTGCAAACCGTCTAGTGTATTCTGATTCCAAAATGAAATTGTGCGTAGGCAGTAGGTGACACCAGCCTGGCTAGTTTAAGGGGCCTATACTGTGCTATTTTATGAAAACTCCAATAACCTTCACTAAAATCATTTGGATGATTTACGACCTGGAATTGCCAAGCTCTACTGAACTAAAGGCAACAGGAGCTGTTAACATGAAAACTACCACTACATGACATCACAAGGTGGAACAGAGCATTTTGAGCTTTGAAGGTGTAGACAAATAATAATAAGGAATGACTCAAACATGTGTGAATGAAACAAAACACAACCCCAGGTCTGTTTTTGATGAGGTAACAACATTATAACATGGCTTAAAGCTCAAAAGAGTCAATTTTGCGTAATGTAAGACCTTTAAAAACAGAATGGAGGTGGAAGGTGGAAAAGAACATAGCCTTAAATCTGCTGGGTTTGTGTGTTAAACATGTGTGAATGAAACAAAACACAACTCCAGGTCTGTTGGTGTTGAAGAAACAACATTAGAACCCAGTGTAGATCAGAAAATAGCATAACACGGGCCCTTTAAATGGATAGAAAGAAGTTGTGTTTATAGTAGATGCCCTTTGGAGTTTTATCATATCAAGCAAAACTGTGAAAAAAAAAAAGATTTGTTTAACCATCCAAAAGGTAATTTGCGAAATCTCTGGTGCCAGGTGGTTTCTAAATGTGTGTCAGTATTGAAGCAGCAGCCTTTACTTAAGCAGTTCACACATTAAGAGCTCTGCCTATATTTGGACAGCAGCAAAAGAATCACTCAGCATCTCTGCCACGGCTTCCACTGTGAGCGATTTATACACTTCTTATATTCAAGGTGTAGACTAAATGTTACTCGCTTGTTTTAAAGGTGCAAAGTGTATCTTTTTCTCTATGGATATGTCATCGCTGTACCTGGAATGTTCCGCAATATGACTTTAAACAGCTCTACTTT